GAACTTTCGTCCTACCGCAGTATTACTATTAGTCTTACTATGACTTCTGAAGGGACCAAAAGGGTGACCCGAAGCATGCTACGCATTTGGGTATGCATAGAGCGTCTCAAACAATTCTGACCATCACCACAGTGTGTAGGTGCTGCAGGTGATGTTAAATGCCATGGTTTACGTCTGCTGCTTCCTTCGGAACACCCGATATGTGGTGTGCATCCGTGCAGGCCCAAGCAAGGTGCCGCAAAAACTCGCTTCTTGGCTCGCCAAGGCACGGTGCTTTCTTAGCTCTGGACGCTTTTCAGGCTTGTAATTTCGGGCTAATGCTATTTGGGGTCTAAGGGAGGGAAGACTATGTGGGGTCCTGCTTTGAGAAAGACCGCACTGCTGGCAGCACTTTTTGGTCTCAGGGCCGCCGAGCGGGAGGCGCGGTGTAGTACCGGTACCAGTCTCTCATGCGCTCCGGACTCGCGCCCAGGTACCAGCAGACGATGATGCATGTGTTCCTCAGTGGGGGACTGGCAGGATCAAGCAGGCTGGCGCCGTCGCCAAGGTGTTTCGGCTCAAAAAATTGTAGGCGGTGACCGATCCAAAAACATCGGTTCAAACAAGGCTAAGCATCAGCAGCTGTTGCTTCAGGGGCCCCATCGCCAGCATTCGTCTTGCAGATGTCGTGACAGCCACAGGCAGAAACCGGAAAGCTCTACGATTGAGCTTGGCAAGCCGCATTGCCTTTGTCTTACCATGTCTTAACTCTGGTCAACAAGGAATAAAGGAATGGATCCTGACAGTAACTCCTAGACAATCCCGAAATAAGAATGTCAATTGAATTTCCGTTCCTTCATAAACCTGCTAACCAGACGTAAGTTTGTTTGACCAGAGGACTTTTACGCCTGCCGTAGCACTGGTTTGTTGGGGAATGAAGACACCTCAATCTGTCTGCACGGCGGCATCAACCACCTGCGTTTGAGTGGACACTTGAACGTTGACCTGCATAGTAGGATTTACAGGCCCCCCTTAACTAGATAGAATATGGCTTTGGGTATATTATACTGAGATCCAATTATACTCCATATACTATCTACTTAAGGGGGACTATAGGGCTAACCACGCGTAAGCTGCGGAGCAACAGCCGGGAGGTTTCTCATCCCACGGGGCGTCCGTATCAGTCGGAACAGAAATTTCCGTACGTGCTCTGTGCAAAAGAATTACTGTAGTAGTTTCGTAAAATAGGGGTATCGGTATCCCCCAATACAGCCCCCAAAATACTACAATCCTCTTTCTGGGGACTCCCCAAAAAGTATATACCCCTAATTTTGGAAGCCCCCAATTTTCAACAAGCTCAAGTGGCTGCGTCTGTACACTTATCAATGAAGCGGGACGGGAGGGATTCTTGAAGTGCAACCTCTTGCACAAGAATGCCTCTGACTGACATAGGCATAGGTCTTCTGAGGACCAAGCAAAGTCCACGTCCTCCAAGAGTGGCCACTCCCTGCAAGGAATGAGGACAAAATGTGCACGGCCATGCAAGCTGCCGTGCTGTTTACTACTCATATGGGCGCTCCAGCCATCGACCCGTCTTTCACTGGTTGACATGCCCAACACGCCTTAACTACATGCTGACGCTAAGTAGGTCCCGTGTGCTATGCGGGGGCCGCCATTCAAATGCTACTACATCTTGTGGTATCTGCTGCTAGCGGTGACTTGGAGCAAGTTGATTTCTCTGCTTGCCTCAGCGCACAGTGCCTTTCAACATTATTCACCATGCACTTCAATCTTTCCACAGACTTGGTCTGCCACCATGTTCCCAGCGATTCCGATAAACAGACACCCTTTAAACCCATGCTTCAGCTCCCAGTTCACATGGGGGTTTACCAAAATTAGGGGTACCCTTTTTAGGGGTCCCTATAATAAGGACTATAGTATTTTGGGGTCTATATTGGGGTTCCCTTATTTTGGGAAACTCCCACCCTGGTGGCCTGTAGCCTTGCATCTGTTCAAATGCTTTTCGCCGCACAAAGATGCCGCGATCGCCGAAGACGAGCCGGGGTGTACGACAGCCTGGACATGTAACATACCCCCCGCCCCCAGACTTTAATCCCTATTAATGGCATCCCTTGGCGGTATGAGATTCGGTTTAGGGTTTAGGGTTTAGGGGCTCAAGATTCTGAAAATGTGAATGGAAAAGAAAATGGACTAGTTGCCACCTTCTTGCCCGAACTTGATTGACAATGATGTAATGATAGTAGTAGCACCAGAACTCTTGGCTCATCATCGTCAGTATGATTTGCACGAGTCAGCGCATTTAAGGTTCGGGACTGTCTCAGACTGTAGTCCCCGACTTCGATTCTGGAGTCATGCAATGCTCACCCTTGATTTTTCCCAGCAGCCCCAAATCCTAAGCTCCCCTAAACCAAACGGCAAGAGATCGAGAACCTGTAATAAACCACAACATCCCCCAATGACCCCTGAGGCGGCCTTAATGGTCCCTTGCTTCTGCGGGCTCTTTTTTGGAGGAGCCCCTATAAACCCCATGCTTGAAAGTCTTCTGAACAATGATCTGGCAGCAGCCCGTTCGCGTAAACCAGCCTTGGCTTATGGCTGCAGACTGTCATGCACGCTGCACTTCGCTAGACCAGGAAACAGGCAATATTGACTACCCCAATCAGGAAAGTAAGGAGCCTATTGTCATATGATCGGTTTAAAGGGGTTGGGCTACCAAAGCCCTCTACTGAACGTGTAGGGGAACTCGACTAAGGCCCTATGAAGACTGCAATGCTGTCCATATGGGGACTAGCCGCCTGAAAAAGCAACTGTTGTTATAGTCTGAACTCCTGATATCCGCAGTAGTAACCCCCATAATACTCCCTGTATAGTTCCCTGTATGACCCCCTACCAGGAGTTTAGACTAGACTACAGATCATGCGGGATTCAGTAGTACACACCCTTTCGTAAGTAGTGGTCTTTTGGACTGTCCCCCGACATTTTGGTTTTCAAGACCCCCCCCCTCCCCCCCCCCACACCCGCACTTCTGGTGCCCAAAACCAAAAACAGCCAGCTCTTTCTGTGGCAGCTGATTTCCTTGAGGATTCGGGGCTCACAGCAAGCAGCATCCTTAGCCGACGTTGCCTAAGTTCATGTCTGCAAGCAACAAGAAAATCTAACAAACCACACAACTCAAAAAGACCAAACTGTGCATGCTTAATGAGCGAAGGAAATGGCAACTCGCGAGTAAATGCGGTTGGAAACGCACGAAAGACAACAGTTCAGTCAGTGTAGCCTCTACATTAGGACAGGAATCTTCATATCCTTCCCCACAAGGCCCTTGAAACCATGCTAGTTTACACTCTTGCACTCCCCCTCAAAGACTCCAAGCCCTGCTTTCGCCAAGTGACTCCAAAGGCGTAGCGTGGCGCTTTGCGACTCTTCCTCGAAACGTAATTCCTGGTGCAGAACAAGGAATGGAAGCGTAGGAGGTTTAGGACTTAGGGTTTAGGGAGTTCAGCTTCCGAGCTTTCTCCGAACTACCTGCAAGTTTGGGGTCACAAGAGTATCGCGGCTGTTGGGCACAGGATTAAGATTTTGGCTCCAAGGATTTTCGGGATAGTAAGGAAACGGGATTCTTCAAGGGCCAAGTTTCAAAGCAGCCGCCCTGCACATCTGGGTCTCGCAGTGCCGCCTCAGGGGTTCTCAAGGTGCTACTGGAGAAGTGGTGACGAAGAGGATGAGTTTAGGGTTTGGGGTTTAGGCTGGTAGTCTGCGTAGTTTTTGCCAGTTTGGCAAATACCCCACCCTAATTTGGCCAACCTACGGATTCAGCGAAATCAAGGCAATTGTCCGACCTCCTTAACCTTCCCGGTATTTGCCGAGATGTTTGAGAGCTTGGGGCATTCACTTTGATTATGTGAGCTGTGGCCTAAACCCTTTGAACCTTTTGTTCTTATTTGTTATGCTATCGCGGACGCCAGTCGCAATACTGACGCGCCCAGGGAATAGCTGACGCGGATGCATTTTTACAAACTGTACTGACGCGAACTATCGCGGCTTCATTTCAGGCTATTAAACCTCGTTTCACTGACGCGGCCACAATGGGAGCCGTTTTTGAAGCAGATGCAAAGCTAAGCAATCTGCTGTCGCAAAGACTATCGCCGTGGGAATGTTGATATTTTACTGACGCGAACTATCGCGCACACCATATAAGCTGACGCAGCCAATCATTACTTTCATGTTTATATAAAATCTCACAAGGGGGGTTTTGGCCGCTGCTCATGTAGAGCTTAGGCCAAGGGGTATCTGTCGCCATTCTCACTTTGCATCTTCAATCCTTCCCGCAATATCCAACGAGTCGTACCCCGACCTGGATCTGCGCAAGAGCTGCAGGGGGCAGATGAGTGTCAGCATGCCTGAGTTCTCTCAAGCCTCTTAGAGCTTTTGTGATTTCAGCTGAACTGCTTCATACAACAAAAAGAGGCAGAAAACATACACAAGAAGGCACCAGCGTGCAGGAAAAGGAGAATCGAGGCCTCCCAGGCAGATACACGTGACGTGGTGTTTTTCCTTGTTGTGACTCTGGTTTGCGTTCCCTGTATAATCTCCTCCCCTAGTATTAAACCCCCCCACCCCTCCAGTATTGAGTACTCCCAAAATACTATTACATACCACATTATGGGAGCATTTAATATTGAAGGTCGGGGGGGTTTAATATTAGCCCTAAACCCTATGAACCCTAAACCCTCATAATGACCCCTTCAAGGGGCTTCAAAATTAGGAGGAGGAATGGGATTTCATGGTAAGGCTCAGGCAATCCTGAAAGTCTTAAGTGTGACCAAGTCCAGTCAGACACGGGGTTATGTAGCAGTTATATAAAGGTTATATAGGGATTATATTGGGGTTATGTTGGGGTTATATTGGGGTGATATAGGAGTTATATAGGGGTTATATGAGCTGCACCCATCCGAAGTGTGACAAGTTTTAGGAGCAATTCATGAACGAGCCTTTCCCTGGAGAACCCCCTGATAATCTTGAAATACGCTTTCCTAAGCAACCATCTATGTAATTCCCAAAGCGGCGGCTCCTGTGTGCTCCGTGCCCCAGCATTCATCTGCAGCGACCGGCCCCGCGAAGAAGTCAAAACCCTGGCGCCACATTCGCGTGCCACGTCAGAGGTGCGGTCCTGGGATTCTGCGAAGGGATTCGTAGGTTTTAGCATGTTTGTTTTCGCAGGCTCTTTTTAGGGGAATATCGCAGGGCATAAATTAGATCTTGGGGTTGAGGATGCAGTTGGGTAGCCTTCAGAGACCCCCTCAGGTCTCATTCCTAGGACCATTGCCAAGTAGCGTTGAAGGGCGTTATACATTAGGTGGACCCCCCACCCTGTAACAGTGACTAAAAGAGGTGATAAGGATTGTAGTATTAGGTTCCTACTCTATTCCCACTATACCACTATTACAGGGTGGCGGGTCCTCCTAAGTTATACAATAGCAGTACAACTCGCAGAGTGCATGGCCCTTCACATGTCATGCGAGACCGCTTTTATACCATCCCCGGCACACTAGGCTCAACGCAAGTAGGCTCACACCTCTACGCCCCCTATCTGGTAGTTGGTAGGTTGTCCAAAGCATGGTCCCTCCCATCAGATAGCAGATAGCCCCTAATGTTGAGTACCCTAAAAGGAACAGTACTTTTGACAAACCCCCATCTAGGCTTGGCAGGCAAAGGCACAGCTGACCCAGGGTCGACAACCACCACTTCTTTGGGCGCAGGCACCTCCAAAACAGCTCCTACAAATTGATTCCCCAACCTGATGTTTAAGGGCCTCAGTCCCAGTATGGGCCCCATAAGGGGACCCCAGCATTCAGAAAGCATCACCTACAAGACATACAGTGTGCACTGCCCTTCAGCTCCAGTATGCCAGGCAGCACGCAGTACAACAAGGAGGGGTTTTCCACTGTGGTCGGCACGGGGGTTGAATCTTGCAACAACAGTACGACTAGTAATTTGATAGCAACTAAGAAATAGTTGAATAGTAATCTAAGAGTAAGAATAGTAATTATGGTAACAACGGTAATCATAGTAAGAATACAAAAAAAAAGCCTACCCTGAGATCGATAAGCACATCTCCACGCTTATGGATAAAGTAGCTATGGTGAACTTGTAACCCTAGTAAAAAAATACATTTTTTGCTGTTCCTTAGGTTATAACAAGCAAAAAGCACAAATCATTTCCAAGTACCCCTAAGGTAGGGGTCCCTCAAAGCAGGCCTGGTCGAACACCGTGTGCAGCGTCGCTGGCAGGGCTTTCTCCTGGCCAGGCAGAAGCTCACATTCTGGTGATGGGTAGAATCATGGTAACATCGCTAATAATGATTATGATTGTGGTGCAGGTGGTAAGAATCATAACAACAGTAGGGATCAGAATAGTAGTAACACTAGTATTTTGTAGGAGATTTCATTAATTCTTATGAAAATATGAACATGAATGATGGTGATAAAATGATAATCATAAGAGTAATAGTAATACAGCAACAGTCATACACATAGCAAATAGTAGTAACAGTAATAATGGTAATCGCAGTTGGCTTCTTCTGCCAGCTCTTGAAGCTCTGAGGCTCAGAGGGTCCAAAGTAAGTGAACGAGTCTTTACGGTCTCATATGAGCTGTAGTCTAAACTCCTAGTATCCCCCTTAATCACCCATGTAGTAGTCCTCTATATAATCCCGTATATAACCCCTTTTGAAGAGTTTAGACTATAGATCATATGAAGAGCATGCATTCACTGTCACTGGATGCAGCTCCTCGTTCATAGCTGGGATGATTACAGCAATGTCCATGGCTGAGGGATCCATCTTCCCAAGCTTCGGACGCGCTGGTTAAAATTTATTGGGGCTCACTGATGACATTTGATGCTGAGATCCCGTAAACCTATACTCAAGCTTCCATACCAACACAGCTGGCACAGCCCGTGAGACGCCGGTGCCTGAATTTGTGCAAGTTGAGGTATGCAACGCTGCGGTCAGTCACTAGTAGGACGATGCAGCTTAGCAAGCCGGACATGAGCTCTTGATGAGATATATGTCCACCAACCACAACATTGTGCAGTCATACTGCTTTCTCATTCTTTCTTATCACCTCCATGCCATGTGGCTTCGCACAGGATTGTCCAGCGCAGGTGCCCTGAGCCCTCCACTGAAGCATGAGGTCTTCGTCATCTTGCGCCTCATTGTGCGCACCTGAGCAGCGAGCAAATCATCCTGAAGAACTTTGGATGATGGGATAATGGAAAAGAAAATGGAAACTAATTACAGGGGTTATAGAGTTTATATAGGGATTATAGAGTTTTTGGGGGTAGCCTGTTCTACCTCCTATCCTTGGAGCGTGAGCTTCAGCGCTGGATTTGGGCATTTTAGAGAAAGCAGGAACTTTGAGGGCACGCTTTGAACACCACCCCAAAGGCCAAACATCTCAGCTTCCAGCGAATGGGGCCAGCCTGGCAAAACAAGGTAATTCGCATGAAGCCGCTGAGGCCCGCAGCTGAAATTTTGCTGGAATGCAAACAGCCTCAAAGCCCCTATGACTACTATTATGACTAGTACTACTATTATTAAGATTATGATTATTGCTACCACTATTAATATTATCATTAGTAGTATTACTGGCATTTTTAATACAGACATCCACAGATCCACACCTTGCCCAAAGCCACGAGGCCTTCACAGCACTAATTATCAGCGATTGCCCATCCAAAGCGTCCAAGTTAAGGCCCAGCGATGAACCGGGCGCCTCGGTCAGTAAACATGTCGGTGGCTTGCAGAACTAGGGTCAATGGAGCTGAAGCTCCAGCAAAAATACATCCGGGGCCCTAGACTTCATTTGATCATATCACCATTTAATTACGCGATGAAAGACGCCTCGCGCAGAAAAAGTCAACTGAAGGCCTCTGTGTCGTTTTGCCTCTTTAACGCACCCGGGCTGTGACGATCGGGTCTTGCAATGATGCGAACTCAGAAAATCCCAAACTCGAACGTTCCCTTGTGTTCAGCATTCTGAGGGGTCTTTAGCCTCTAGCAGTGTGAAAGATTCATGCTTTGCTTTCCATGAATAAGCCTAAACGAACCTTCCCACAGAAGATCGGGTTCATCAAAATGTGAAGAACGCCTCGAAAAGATCCAAGAGCCCAGCGCGCTCTATCTGGACAGTGAACTCTGGATTGCTCCTGCGCAGGTCATCCAAGGGTGCGGAACGCCATGCCCTCCATGATCTGTGTTGCTCAAAACTGTCAACCACACAACACTACAGCCCTACCCAGGCCGACTACCAACTTGGGTGGGGCGCGTCCACAGTTCTTGCAGACCAAACACGTCTGATCACTAGGAACCAGCTGGAGAGTGGTGAAGTGATAGTGTTGATGTTAGTGGAAGAAGTGTTACTTTTACTAACCACTTTTAGTAGCCATCATCGCCGCAGCACGAGAACTGGACGAATTTGTTTTCTAGTAGTGGTAGTAGTAGTAGTAGTAGGAGTAGCAGTAGCAGTAGCAGTAGCAGTAGTAGCAGTAGTAGTAGTAGTCGTCGTAGTAGTAATAGTGGTAGCAGTGGTAGCAGTGGTAGTAGTCGTAGTAGTTGTAGTTGTAGTAGTAGTAGTAGTAGTACTAGTACTAGTACTAGTACTCGCACTAGTACTAGTACTGGCCGCAGCAGAAGACGCAATGGTGGTGCAGTAGCCGCAGCAGCGGCGGCGGCAGCGGCGCTAGAATTGTCACAGCAGAAAAAGTATCAGTCATGCAACTGGTAGAAGTACAGCGAGGAACTGCTTGTTTAGAAAAATGAATAAGCAGTAACACACTCTTTGTACGCATGCTGATGACCTTAGTGTTCAATGGAATAGAGGCCACGGTAGACGCAAAGCTGGCCATCGCCAACGTCAACATCATCATCACCACCATCACCAGCAGCATCCTCACACCATAGGAATAGCAAACGCCAAAAGTACTTGCAACAGTCTAAAGGGAGTTCTGCGGTTCGAAAACCACCGGCGTGCAGACCTCTACTTGTACAATGATGGAGCAGAACATGCAAAGCATTCACAAGCACTGGAAACACTCACAAATCGTGAGAGCCAAGCGCCCCACGTGCCAGCGGCGGTTGTGGCAAGCGATCTGGCAGTCAGGAGGCCGCTGCCGGATGACATTGCCTGCGTAACATCTGCCAAGCCTTAATAGTAACTATATGCGGATACAGGTTATAACTTGGATGAACTTGGTTGGTTGTAAATTGAATTTTTTGTTTGTCTTGACAAAGTCTATGGATGTCCACCGACCTGTGGGTGGATGCTGGCTTCTTGAGACGGAGAAGGAGAAAACCCTTCTCATTTTTCCCTAAGCGTGAGGGTGTTGGGAGGCACAGGGTATCCCGGCTGCGTTTTTCTGGGTGTTATATCCAAGGCAGCCATCTGAGCCGACTTCCACGCCATCCGCAATACCCCCCAAGAGGACTGGGGTCAAGGCCTGTACATCTGGAGGTCCAGGAAAGGCCTACTTGCAGTGTGCAGAATCTTAGCAGAGCATCACAGACACCAAGCACCAAGGGCCCAAGGACCTTTAGAGTCCTGGCAGCCTGGCTTGAACTTCGCTCGCTTGCGCCGCTTGGTCTTGTGCCCAGCCACTGAAAGCATAGGCGGCGCGGCAATATTTCGAACATAACGCAATGTCGTTAATTGGATCGCGGTGCCGCGGCTGCAATATCGGCTGCGCTGGCGTCAAACTGCTTCCCATCTGCCGTAAATCACTTCTGCTACAACTTTCCCGCCAGAGGGATTCGTGGAACTTAAAATCTACAAGTGGGGTCGATGGGAAGTTCCAACATCAGGGAACCCCTTGCTGAGCTATGAAATCCCTAAATTTGGCCTACAACTTCTCTCACATATGTCTTTCGACATCTTTGGAAGACTTACATGGGCTCAGTGCCACAGGCTTTTGTTTGCGGCGCTGATTATGCACCTTGGGATTGAACAGACCCCCCCTCCCTGAATATGTCTGTAAAATTTCAAAAGGCATGCCTTAGACTCCTTAGACATTACTCTTGAAAGTCGGAAGTCTCTACACGGC